TTTCTGTTTTTTGGCTGTTATGAAAAATGTGTTATGAACAATACCAAGTAGCCCTACCTGCCACTGCTACTCCACTACCCTCAGAGCTGGGAGAACGGGACTCAGGACATCAACTTGGGTGGGCAAGGTGGGCCCTCAGGTGAGACACTTGGTGGGTGAGACGGAAGATCAGAAGAGAAACTGTAAGATGCTGCCGGGCCCTCTGTCCACACTCCTCTTAGACGTCATCTTAGTGCTTGTTTATTTTAAAGTAATAATTTACATGCTCTAGGTTTTATTATTTAATTTTACTTATCATTTTCTTTTTTATATTTATAGAGATATTTTATAATGCCTCTTTTTTAAAATAATTATTTAATTTATTATTGTTATTTTCCAGTTTGATCAGAGCGACAGAGAAAGAGAGAGAGGAAAAATGAGAAAGCCAGCCGCTAGGTCCAGGACTAGGTCAGCCATTTGGGGGTCCAGAGCCTTTTTCTTTTTTTGGAGAGGTTTTCACTACAGGGCGCGTGCGCTCCCCGGACAGACAGAGAGAGACATAGAGACAGAAAGCGAGAAACCATCCCCCAGGGGGGATGGCCACACCGCAATCCCTTCTCCTCCATTCTCCTCTCGGGATCTTGGGCACGCACACGCACCCGGCGTGAGTTTTAAGCCACTGGGTCAGGGACGCGAACCACAGTCAACTACGTGGGAGTCCAGCGACATAGCCATTACACTAACTGCTGGTTCCCTGGAGTCCAGAGTCTTTAACCACCATGCCACCTGCTGGCCCCTCTTTTATTTATTTATTTATTTTTTTAAATTTGTGATAGGTCATGTGCTCTCACCAAAGAGAAACAGAGAGAAGGAAAGTGAGAAAGCAAGCTGCCAGGTGAGGTTTTGTTTTATTTTTGTTTTTAAATAAGAGGGAGATTTTTTGCTATAGAGCACTTATGCTCTCAGTAGAGACAGAAAGCAAGAAATCACCCCCTCCCCCCCCCGGGGGGTGATGGCCACACCACAATCCCTTCTCCTCCATTCTCCTCCTGGGATTTTGGGCGCACAAGTACCTGGCATGAGTTTCAAGCTTCCAGGTCCAGGACTCAAACCACGGTGGACCATGTGCGAGTCCACTGCCTTAATAACACTATGCCACCCACTATTCCCCCGCCCCCGGCCAGGTAAGCTTTAAAGGGAGAACTTCTCTAGCCCTGCTGGCCCCTCTGACAGGCGTGGAGATGGTAGAGAGAGAAAAAGAAAGACATCAGAAACTCCAAACCCTCAGACATCCAGCCAGAGCATCAACTTCAGGAATCTCCTCCAACTTCCTTCAGAAGCAAGAGCAGTCAGCCAGGGGCCAAGTGCAGAGGAGGCAGCTCAGCCCAGACCTGCCCCGGGGGGGAGCCCCCAGGGGGCACTTAGCCGTTTGGGATCTAGACCTACATTCTCAAGCCAGAAGAGTTCACAGCCTCTCCCGGTGCTGGGCGAAGTTTCAGCGTGGGACATTACCTTCCACCCCAAGCTCTGCAGGCCAGCATCTTGCTCAGAAAAGAAATCCAGACCCGTCCCTGGACCTCTGAGACACCCCCTCCCAAGGGGTAACAATGCATGGGATGGAGGCCTCCCAGGCACCCAACCCAACCCCCAGAACCTGAAGGCTCAACCCCAAGCCTCAGGATGGGAGGAGCAGAAAAGGAGCTCCTGGCACTTTAAGGCCGGCTGAGCCTAATTGCCCAGATTCCCCCGGCAGCCAGATAAACAGCTCGGCCGGCTGGCGCCAGCAAGAGGCAAACTGCACATTATCACCCCTTCCTCACCTCCAGGAGAAGGAGGAGCAGACAGGCAGGCTGAGCAGGCAGGGTGGGGGCTTGGAAGCCCAACTTGAAATTGATCTTATTTCAAAGGGATAATGCCAGGCCAAATAAAAGGCCAACTTTCTAGCCCATTCTCATTCCTGTAGACCTGGCCTGGGAACCCTGTGTTTTCCTAGGCGGTCTCCTCCAGTCATTTAGAAGTTCTTGCTCTCTCTCTCTTTCTCTCTTGCCCTGTCTCTCCTTCTCGGGTGCAATTTGGATAATAGTAATTTACTGAATATAATTATAGAAAAAAAAAAAAGTGGTGAAGCAAAGAGCAGGAGATTTATTCCAAAGTTAATGGATACTTTCAGGAGAAAGGAGCTCTATAAACACAGGTTAGAGCTGTGATTAAAGTATTTCTCCACATTTCCGTCCACATAGGCACCCTCCACGCTCAGCGAACTAGTTTTCCTGGGATAGAAAGACATGCGAGGGAGGGAGGGCACAGCCTGACTCCCCGGGCAGGGAGGCCAGGAGGCTTCCAGGCAGAGCCAGGGCAGAGCCTGGCAGAGGGCGAGTCCTCCGTGAAGGACCCCAGCTGCTGAGACTTGAGCATGGGCGAGAGGGCAGAGGAGGGGAGGGAGGCAGGCCTGTGTAGCATGGAATCTGCCAGTCAGACCCTGGGGTTTCTATCCAACCCCCTACTTCACAGATGGGCAGAGGCCCAGAGAGGGGAACCTTGCCCCAAGGCCCCACAGCAAATTGATGGACTGAGCAGCACTGGCTCTGTAAAGCACGGGCCATACTGTCCAGGGAGGAGGCTCCTGTCACTGGATCCCTGCTACAGTGGGGTGGGGTCACTCAGGTGACCAATGCCAGACTAGTGTCCCGCCGTCCCTCCATGCAGGGTGTTCAGTGTACTTTACTCTCTAGCTGGGTGTCTGCTGTGTGTGGCTGTCTGTCTCCTGCCCCGGGCCCCAGCCCTCTTCCCAGAGCCCTGCAAGGAGCGGTCTCCTTATCAGGACGCGCACGGCTGAGCTCCAGCTATGCGCCCGCCCAACTACAGGAGCCAGGCTGGCGGCCGGGCAGTGGGGGTGGGGTGGGCAGAAAGGGATGCCCCTAGTTCTCATTCCCGGCTGGACCATCAGGCCTCCCCAATGCCCCCAAGATGGCTGAATGGGGCCCCCTAGGCTACCAGCTAGCAAAGAGGCAGGGGAATAGACTCAGGGTACGACGGCCCCTGACAGCGCCTCCTACTGGGGGGATGAAGGGAGTCAAATCCCAATATTTGGTCCAGAATTGGTTGGGAGATTTGTCCTTAGACCCACCCACTGTCTAGTAGAGAGACTGAAAGAGGAGGGGCCTCATCTTGGCAGAGGCTAGGGCAAAGTCACTCCACTGCAGCTTGCCAGGTCTCCCTCAATGGTACCACACTAACCAACACCCAGGCCAGGTCCTGGTCAAGGAGCAGCAGTGGGAGTGGGTCCTGTCTACAGCTTCCAGATGTTTCACTTCTGCCCTTCCTGCCCACCCACCTGCGCTGGCCTAGCCCTGGCTCTGGCCGGCCCCTCTCCCTGTCTGCCCCATCCTCCAAGGCCTGGCCCCAAGTGAGAGCAGTGGAGTTCCCAGAGGTGATCCCATTACACTCACCCCAGTCATCTGGTTCAGACCCACAGCCCTGCCCGCTCGCTTCTTCCTCCTCACCCCTGTAGGATTATGTGTCTTGAGGGCATAGATCCTACTCATGTTTCCACCCTGCCAACCACGGCACCCAGCAAGGTGCCTATGACAGACACACAGTCAATGCTCAGCGCACATCGGCTGGCACAACATGCCAGAGAGAGCACATCTTTCCGGGCCTTCTGGAAGAGTGGAGTGGGCCCCACCACACAATTCCCACTGGGGGGGGAAAGGACAAAGCACTTCGCAACCAGGGACCCCATCCCAGGGATAGAAGACAGGCAGCAGAGGGGAGAAAGCCACCTCTAGGGGAAGCTTCCGAGAGAAGGAAAGGAGTGCAGAGAAAAACCCTGTGGGACACAAGTCGGGGGTGCCCCAAAGCCCCAAGATGGGGCCAGGGTGACCATGCAGAGGGCCCCTCCTACCCCACCAATGTCCTATTCAAGAGCTACCACTGAGTAGAAAGGTCCTTCCCCCAAGCCCCCAGCCAGCCCCATGCACGTGAGCAAGACACCTGGGACAAATCCATAACCCTGTGCCCACCTTCCCTCCACACTGAGTTAAGAGACGATCCAGGCCCCATGTGCCTCAAGCGGGGTACTGACTCTAGGGAGTCAGACTGGAAAACTAGAGTCCTCTCAGGCCAGAGAGCCTGCACCTCTCTGCCAGTCCCAGCCCTGCAGCGCTCAGATGCTACCTCCAGGCTAAAATGGGTGGGTGTCTGCTGTGTGCGCAGGCTGGAGCAGAGGAGCTGCAAGCTCCTGGCTTGTCAGGGACCTCCGGGTCCTCACCTCTGCTCCAGAAACCAGGGCCTGCTGGGGAAGCAAGGCTTGGGTGAGGTATAGGCAGGAAATCCCAGGAGAACAGGGTAAGGGTGCTGTTCTCTGAGGTCCTCAAAGATCTGGCTTCCTGGCCTAATCACAGAGGCCTCCAGGACCCTCAACCCCACAGGAAAGCTGCACATGCCAACTGGCAATTGCCAGGGATGTGGGGAATGCTGGGGACAAGGGGTGGTCTCTGTTCTGAGAGTGGGGTTACCCCGCAAAAGCTTTGCTCCAAAGTACGTACAGAACTAAGTAGGACCCTAACCACTTGTCACTCTAGCCATGTGTCTACACCCAACTTCACAACCTGTTACTGCTTGGATAGAAAGCAGTACAGCCCGAATATGGGCTTAGACGCCCGGGCACAGACCGGGTACCTTCCAGAACTGAGGTGGAGGGGAAAAGGCACCCATTTCTTCGGGCCCTGCTTGTCCTCCCCTGCTGACCCTCTCTCTCCGAAGCTGCTCAGAGAAAACTCCAACGTGCACCCTTTTTAAGTTTTGGTGGAGCCTGAAAACGAGGCTGCCATTTGACGTGTGTGCTCGGCACCCACTCCCCTCCGCTGCGGCGAGACGCCTCCCCCGGGGGCTCCCACGCTCCAGGGGCCCGGGGCAGCACCAGCAGGCGCGCCCTCCCTGGGTGTGACGGACACAGAAAGAAGGCCAGGCAAGAGGGCAGGAGGGGACCCCGGGGTCCCCGCCCCGCGCGGCGCGCTCACCTGGCCCGCAGAGCCGGCTGAAGTGGTAGGGGTTGCAGCACACGGTGGGGCCATCAGCGGCGGCGGTGAAACTGTG